GTGCATGATGGTGTGGCCGTGCTTCCTCGGTTTGAGGATCCGGGAGACGATGTAGAGGACGAGGCGGCCTTCGGGGTTGGCGGAGTGGATGGTTGGGCGTCCCGAGGCATGGCGTTTGAGCTCGGTGATGCCAAGCTCGTTGAGGATAAGGCCCTCGTTGTTGAGCACCCAATCCTCTCCACCATAGTGAGACACATCGATGTGCCCAAGCTGCTCCACGGTGAGCTCGATCGGCGTGCTCTTGACAAGCGAGTAGAGCACGTCGTCCTCACGCCGGAGGTTGGAGTAGATGGCTCGGATCAGCGCCGGGTTGATCTCCTTTCGTGCCTGGGAGACGAACGGCCAAAGGCCGGCTTGATGAAGCTGCGCGTCGAGGTCATCGTAGCCCTGCAACTCCGGGTAGCGCTCCGGGATGATCCGTGGGGGAGCCACAACCCGTTTAGAGAAAAAGGTGAGAAATCGGGTGCGCTCCTCCTCGGAATCGAACCAGAGGTACGACCTATCGCCGTAGTAGAGGCGTTCCTCGGAGGTTGTGGACGGTGCCCGGGATTTAGACTTCGATTTCCCGGAGGTAGCAGCCCTACTCTTGTCTTTGCCCATGGTGATGAAGAAATCTCAAAAAAAATGTTAGAGAGGATAAAATATGCAAGGAGATTGAAGAAGATTGAGTTTAGATGTGAGAAGAAGGTAAGTAGGAGGCCAAATATATATAGGATTAGGTTTCCAACGTTCAAAAATTCAAAAATCTGGCAGTTGGAGCATTTAATTCAGTGCCCAACAAGTATTTTTTTTTGAAAAATTTGACCTGAACAGCGATGTTCTGGAGGCGACATCGCTGTTGAGACAGCGCTGGTGGAATTCAGAACAGCGCTGTTGTGCGTCAAGTTTTAAAAAAAGGTGTCAATGGGACAGCGATGTTGGGTACACTACAGCGATGTTCCAAAAGCTTCTGGAATTGTGTAAGGGTTTGAACCCATTAGAACAGCGCTGTTGGGTTATCCTACATCGCTGTTTTGCGATTGGGAAAAAAAATTTGTAAAAATGGACATCGATGTTGAAGGTAAGACATCGCTATTTAAAAAGTTTCTGGTTTTGGTTGAAAACAAAAAGTTTTGGGAAGACACCGATGTTTAAAGGGGAACATCGATGTTCAAAAAGTTTCTGGAAAGTGAAGATTGAAGGAACTCCCTCGGACAGCGCTGTTGGCTTGATGGACAGCGCTGTTGGAAAACTTTCTGGTTGACGGTGTTTCCCGCAACAGCGCTGTTGTGTCTCCTGGACAACGCTGTTTGCATGGTTCCCCCTGATTTCATGAACGGGGTACCTAAAAAAAACAACACTTTGGTACCCAAAGTATGTCTATGGGTCCTTGGGGGTTAGTTAACCTTTTATTGCCCACGCACACACCCAAAATTTGTTTCCTTACACGCGCACACACACACACGCACGATTAGATGATCGCTTAAGAGTTACCTTGGCCAA